CTACAACTAAATGTTGAATTCCTGTCAATTGCACGAATTCAGGTTTGAATAAAAACATTTCAATTGAATAATTCTATAAAGGTCTTACAATGGCTAATTCCCATACACTTGTAACATTGACTCAGTGGCTACTTATGTAGGGATTTTTGTAGCCCTTCTGACACCAGAATCAGAATAATCAGCAGAAGATTTGGCTATTACACTACTCGCTGGTTCTCTACTTTATCAATATTTTAAGGCTAAACTGAAGGTCTTAATAGCTTTTTAAAACCTCAAAAACCAAAGTCAGGTGTTTATAAAAGTCTCTTAGATTGTTCTAAGAAAGATTCAAGACCATTATGAGCGATACATAATATGCATCTGCCATTTTCTTCCTAACCCTTCCCTACATACTAAGCACTACTGTGCTTAGTGATAACTAAATGATGTTTTTGGATCCAAATGAACAACAAACCTTTGGGATTCCAAAACAAGTAACACTTATCATAAAAGTTGAAAATGTGTAGTATCTCCTAATTCCTATTAATTATGTCAATGTAAAAAAATGTTTCTGATAAAAGGTATTCTCATTGTATTCATAAGTCAAATGAATGTTTGAATCTAGCTTTTTTTTTAGTACATTAACAGAATACGAAATAACCTTCAAACTCACTTAGCATGTTTTCACATTTGCTTTTCCAAAATTATCAACATATCCTTTATACTTGTTCCCGTAGATGTTCTATTATCAAGAATTCTGATGGACCAGTAACATTCAAAATTAAAAGAGAGTTTACCTGTTATTCAAAAAACTTACTTATATCTTGAAAGATATGTCAGTGAAATGGAAGGTTTCAGAATGAAAACATAATCAACATAAGTTATTGTGAGTAATCCAAGGTACAGTCCTTTAAAATGTTTCAACATTTTAATAATTATAGTATCAAAATCTGAGTATATTACAAGAGCTTTTTGTAGTAAAAAAGTTTAATGTACTTTGAATGGGTAAATTTAAGTTTAGAATTGGTATTATGTTCTCAATGGAATTTAGGTATGCTTCTTATAGCTTATATAATTAATATTTTTAAGAATTTTATTTACAATTTACTTCTTAGTAATTTCGATATTTGTCTTTCAATTAGATTAACTGAAAAGAAGCATATATACTGTGAGAGAACTACTGACACAGATAATCAAATAAACAGTATGTAACTTTACATTACAGTTACTATTGATGTGTATACAGTAAGATTTCATATCATAAAAATGAAATTAACAAAATCTTCACTAAAATCTCACTTCAAATATAGTTTTAATAATAACAATATACAAGATTAATTATTTCCACAAAATATCACACTAATGCTAGCCATCCATAATTTACCAGTAAAAGACTAGAGAGAAGGCAGCTAGTCATCACCACTCACTGCCAACTTTTGAGCTACTCTTTTACCAACAAATAGTGGGATTGACCGTCACATTATAATGCCCCCATGGGTGAAAGGGCAAGCATATTTAGTGGGGATTTGAACCTGCGACCCACAGATTGTGAGTCAAGCTCCCTAACCACCTGGCCATGCTGGGCCTCACACTTATAGCATTACTAAATTAAGGTTAAATCAGGCCACACAACAAAATATTCTACCTGGAGATTCAGAATTCCTGGATAATGCAACAGGTAATGGATTTTGAACAAAGTGATTCATGCCTTCTCTGGAAGAATTTCTGGAGCACTCTTGCCCCCACTCCTCTTCAAATTTGGCCCTAATTTAGAAATTCATATTTTATTAGGTAAAAATCCGTGTCAACATACGCAAAAAATAGGCATTCAAAAACTTCTGTATTTTTTAAACTTTATCTCAAGAATGTTACGCTAGATTAAATTCTTACAGATATATCACACACTTTTATCTGTAAGCAGAATGATGATACAACTTACATATGTCATAAAACTGACTTGATAATCTAATATTATAACTTGAAGAGATAAATGAAGTTATCTTTGGTTTGTTTTTTCAGTTCTAAATGTGAATATCCAATTTAATGTTTGAATACAGTGAATCTTGATGTCTAGGATTAAGCATAATTGCATAAAGTTTATAATGGTTAATATTTCAGTTTAGCTGTTTGTATTTTTAAAATTGGAAGAACCTGTAAATAAATCAAGGAGACATACCTTTCACGGACAGTAATGGAACTGCTTGGAGATGCGACTCTTACAGACTGCCCTAAGAGTTCTGGAGGGTAAGGATTTCCAGTTACACATGGCAAACCTGGGAGATGTAAACTTCCTGATGAAGTAGGTAAATGAGATGTAGGAGTTTTCAGTAGTCCATAATGGTCCAAATACATGGCATCTTCATGTCTGTTATTCCCACAATACAGTTTGTATTACGATGACAAGTTAACCATTATTTTTTATACTATTTGCTCTACTGTTGTTAAATACTAAAAATGAATGAAAATTAAAAAATGTTTGTTAATGAACCCTATCCAAACAATAACAAACATGTACCTGTATGTATGATGTGAAAATGGAGGAGGTGGTGGTAGAAAAGTTGCTTGATAAGGATATGACACTGGATGTTCATAAGATGGAATGTGAGCTGGAATAGAGCTTCGCACCCCTTCAACATTTCTATAAATCTGAAAGCCACTGGAAGATACATGACTCTCTTCAGACTCTCTGCCAGTTTCAGTTCTAATAGAAAACAGATACAGCTTAACAGTGAAAGTTGCAATTCATCTTAACTGCAGAAAATGTAATATTAACCCTACTGCCCCGGGTATCCTTTACTGCACATGACACAAGGTTTTGGTGTCTAACATTCAAAATTCTATTAAACCAATTAGAATAGCATAAAATCTTAGCTAATAATCCATATTTTAATAGTGTACAAGTTTTAAGTTCTTAATTCTACAAGGCAATATTTAAAAAAAATCCTGAATTTCCACTAGTGTGACCCATGTGACATTTTCTCTTAGTATGTCATCATCCCTTATGAATGCCACAAGCCTTCTATCTCCCTTCCATTGGAACTGACTGATTCCAATACATCTCTTATGCAAATGATCATGCATCAACCCTCCATCAACAAGAGTATGTCATACTCTCAATGAGCATATGACTCCCTCTATTCCATTCTACCTTTGAAAGCATCTGAAAGACATACCCTAAGATGAAACAGTCAGATTCTAAGATTTGATCTGGGGAACTGCACCACTTTTGAACCCGATAAACTCTTCACCCGTGGTAGAAAGATATCATATACATATGGGCAAAAAACAGTGGGGCAAATCCAACTGGGAGAGAACCACGGCTGGAAAGTGATCCAAACCATGCAATATCTATGAAACCCAATCCCAGAAATTATAAAAGTGGGTAAAATGAAAAAGATGTGCCCCCTTGGGTGTGACGAACCATACTGATGGCAAGTCAACTACATACAAAACCCATGCCTCTGAGAACCGACATCTAGACAGGGATAGAATGAGGATCATACCATCGGTAAATCAACTACAATCCAAAACTCAGCTGCCAGGTACTGACATCCATGTGGGGTTAGGAAAGAGGATCATGCCACCAGCAAGTCAACTACAACCCAAAAACCAGGCCACCAGCAACCGATATCCATATGGTGGGTAGGAAAGAGGATCATACTGATGGCAATTCAACTAAAATCCAAAACCCAGCCATATGGTGGGGGTATGAAAGAAGATCATAGCATCTTCACCTCAAGTTCACGAGACTGGAGGGAATCTAGTCCCCCCTCCCCAGACTCATGAATGGGGCACATTTGAATATGATAAATTGATAGATCAATCCGGGAACCCAACATCCAGTATCAAAAAGATGTCTATATAATGTAAATCATCTACCTCAAGAGTGAAATTGACTGGAACCACCCCAAGCACATTAACATCCTTGGAATAAGAAACAGCAGAGAGGGAAAGAACCATAACAATCTGTAATTACCTCTGCAATCCAATGCAAATAGTGAGAGATGAACATATCATGAGTCATCCACATGCTCAACTGAAGAAGTACCTCCAAAAGATGACAAAGATGAAACGCCAATAAAAAGGTAAGGTGTTGAAGTGAGTGAGAAGACACTCAGGACATGTATGAAAGGAAGATGATAAAGAGGAAGAAGCCAATCAAATGAAGAGCCGGACCCAATTGGTGAAGGAGGAAAAACATGAACAGAGGAAAGTTGCCAAAGGAGAAAGAGGTATGAACGAACACCATAGAAAGAAGACGTGTAGGGGATATAACAGAGAAGAGGATGTACAGGATGTAGCAGTCTATCTGGATCAGGACAAGGATAAAGATGTGAAATGGAAGGGAAATTGGCTAAACAGAGGAGTTATCCTCGTGACCCGCCGAAGAATTAGGGAGGAAAAACAATCTCGACAAATGAGAAGATATGTAGTAGGATAGAGAGTACATGAAACATTGACAGCATAGACACTAATGTCCATATGGGAAGGTGAAACAAGGAGCACTGGGAGAGTGGTGCAAACATAGGCAAAGTGAGGCAGTGCAGGACCATATTAGTATGGCAGAAGGGCAGTCTGCCATGGTGAATAACAGATCTGGAAGGAACACATCCACAGGTAAAGTGCATGAGAGGTAAACAGCTCCAGGCTCAGGAAAAAATGATAGGTGTTGGACAGGACTGCCAAAAAGTCCAAGACAGGAGACTAAAGACCCTCGTTCCAAAAGTCAGGAGAGAAAATCCACATGATTAAGAACAGTGGATCAATCAGGAGAAAATCTTGAACCCAGAAACCAACAACAGAAAAATTCTATTTATGTTGAGAAACTTCCAAGAAGGAAGGGCAAATAAAACAAGCCAGAAATGAGGCTAACCATCGGAAGAACCCGGATCACCTCTCCAATGACCAGAGGAAAACCAGGTATGAAAACAGAAGATAGGAAGATCTGGGTGGTAAAGAAGAGAAAAAAGAGAAAGAGAAGAGGAAAAGGTAATGGAGGACGAAATTGGAGAATCCACAGTTGAGGTGGTCAGGAAAGAGCTATTAGAAGGACTGAACATGGAGTGTCATGGATGAACAAAATCAACAGGAGAAGGAGGAGAACGGGAGGATAAACAAATGTGTAAGTCCAATGTGAGGAGTACCCCACTGAAGATAAAACCACTGAAAACAAAAGGATCGAGAGACCACTCCATCAGCTAAATGTTGTCTGAACAGGAATCTGATCCACGACAAAAGACAAGATCAAAAGCAGCAGGAACATGACATGCATTGATAGGAATATCGAGCATGTGGTCCCAAAAAGAAGATCCAGCATATGAATGCAGAGGGATGGAGAATGGGTGCTGCTCTGGTGACTGAGATACAAAAAAAGCCGGAAAGGATCATTACCAGACAATTTCTGGCCAGATGGAGAAAATAAACCAAAACATGACCTACAGCGAGAAGTTCCAGGACATTGATAGGATAAGACCTCTCAGCCACAGACCAAAAACCTCAAATCTTCCAGTTGATCAACTCACACCCCCCATCCTGAAGAAATGTGTCCATGAAATGTGGAAAACTAGGTGAGGTTTCATTGCAACCCAGAAAATCCCAACTACAATGAAATCATGTGTGTAAAGCGAGAATTGAAGACAACAAACAAGCTAACTTGGAGGTAATAAGGAATCACTGAAAAATGGGAATTGGATACAACATAACCTGAGAAGTTATGTCAAAAAACGCCATATTAGACCTAGTTGATTGTGCAGGAGAGGAAGAAATTCAATGATGTAAAAAGGCTATCAAATCTTCATCAGCCCAAACAGGTTCAGCTTGTTCAGGAGTTAATTTAACATAATTTTCCAGTCTTTATTTTTCTCACACTCGCATATTTGACATTAAACACTTATACCTCTAGCACTATTTTCACACACCACAGGTGGGGAAAACCCTTTGTTACATTTCTCTGCTATTATCAATCATGAGATTGATTGTTATATAGGTCAGTCTTCTTTTAATTTAACATAATTTTCCAGTCTTTATTTTTCTCACACTCGCATATTTGACATTAAACACTTATACCTCTAGCACTATTTTCACACACCACAGGTGGGGAAAACCCTTTGTTACATTTCTCTGCTATTATCAATCATGAGATTGATTGTTATATAGGTCAGTCTTCTTAATATTTTTTCAATGTAAAAAAATAAAAATAAGAAGGAAGATACCACTTTTTCTGATCATTAAACTTCATTATAGCCGTGATTCACATGAAGAGCACCAAAAGAAAAAAATATCTGAACACACGAACTGTCAAATGAGAAGGGATAATTCAGTAGAATGGAATAAAGGGAGTCACATGCGCCATAAGAGTATGTCGCCCTCTTATTGGCTGAGGGTTGACACATGATGATTTGCATGAGAGATGTATTGGAATCAGTCGATTCCAATGGAGGGGAGATAGAAAGCTTGTGGCATGCGAAAATGTTTTTTGTATATAGAGGGCATCACCGAACGAGAATAGCTATTTGTACGAGTGGAGGTAATATTCTGTATCAGAAATATGGAGTTCCTTTAAAAAGCTTACTTACTGGGTGAAACAGGAATTACCAGCCAATAATAGATGAACATTAGATTACTGTAACATGTAGAATACTCAATGCTTTGCACACTATGCAAGCAGTCTTTAGGGAGCCAACCCCTATATTATGTAGGAAATGAAGGAGTAAAAAACAAATCAATACACATACTAATAGATTTTATTACACCCATTCATAGAATACATTAACTATCAGTCTGGGGTAAAAATGTCACAAAACAAGTAATAAAAAATATTTTGTAAATGTAAAATGATGTAGAGATGGCAGTGACAAAAATAATGCAAACAAGAATATATGGGGACAATACAGCTATACATAGATCATCCCTACATGACTTTCAATATTAAAATTTAATGTTACACTGTAAAATGCATACTTGACTATAATTACTGCAGTTGGAAGTTATATATTCCTGACTGTTGGTATGCATTTTGTTTATCATAACATCATGGTCATGCAGAGTAGACATCAATGTAGTGTAACTAAGAGCCAAGTACTTGCATACAAGGAAAACCATATTGAGTTAAAACATGTCTTGATTATTACTCACTATGAGGTCAGTCAATTCAACTGACCTCGTAACCATTTCGTACTGGTGTATTTTACAGTGTAACATTAAATTCTAATATTGAAGTCATGTAGAGATGATCTACATATAGCTGTATCATTCTTATATTTTTGTTTGCATTATTTTTGCCACTGACATCCTTACATCATTTTTACATTTACAAAATGTATTTTTATTACTTGCAAGTTATTATGCATCATACAACTAAACAACTTACCTTTGAAGAGAAGATGGGGGATGTCTAATGATATCGCTGTTCCCATAATACAGTTCTTCTCTCTTGACACCACCATAATAACCACTGTTTGTTGTTCTGGATGTAGATCTATCGATCTTGAGGCTTAATGGCTCCATTAAACTACTTGTGCTGCCACCTTGTGAATGCCTTGATAACTCAGCATCCTAACAATTAGTAGTATACAATATCACCGCACTCAAACAATACTTGCTCACATACATTGTTAAATGATTTTAACTTGCATTATTGTAAGTGTACATCACAGACTCTGCAAAACTTTGGAAAGTCCACCTTACACATACTCTCCCCTAAGTTTACTTACAACCAAAAATTAAAATTAGAGTATGAGATTATGTTCAAAAGGAGAAAATTCAAGTCTCTAGTTGCAACTGAACCAGTGAAGCCAAATCTAACAATGTTAAATCTCAAGTAACAAGAAACTTTACCTTGTTTTTACTCTCAGTAGTGTGAGTGGCATAGCTTAATGTTGGAGAGACACTAACTGCTAATGAATGAACCAAAGGCATGGACGACTGACTACTGGTCAAAATGTGCTGTTTAGGAGTAGTTGATCGGTGGGCTGGTAATGGTGTGGATACAGGGCTGACAGGTGAAGCAGCAGTTTCTAGGGGGGTGAAGCAGCAGTTTATATTTTATTCCATTCAAACCATTCATGTTAATACAGATACGTATTTATAGACAACAACAACAAAAAAAAATCCATACTCTAATCCCTCTTTTAATATAACATTTTAATAGACTGTAAAACAAAGACAAACACTTGATATAAATTTGATGTTTTTCAACATATTTTCTAAAAATATATAACATTTGATTAAAATGCATAAATCAAAAATATTAATTTAACCACAATCTGACAACTTAAAAACGAAACACATGAAACAAAACATATTTAGATAAATGAAAATACTAATGAAAAATAAGAACTCACAAAAACTACACCCAAATAAAGAAATATTTGTAATTACTCTTTCAGATCCTGTTGAGATGGTTGACAACAAGGCATAATAAGAAAGGTTTTGGAACACTTATGGGTTCCTTCAAACATGCAACTTTCCCCAAATCCCTTCAAAACATAATATTTAAGGCAAAATTTCCAATAGTAAAAGTATTTTTGTATTATTCAGATGAAGCTTGTGAACAAACCTTACATATTTTATCACATCCTAAAACAAGTATTGTGTATTTTCTCTAATTAAATTTATTTTGTTACATTGTAATTTTAAGTTTCTCTGAAACAATAAAATTTCTCATTGTGATTGGATTTTGTTTTAGTCAGATGCTACATTAATAGATAATTGATGAAAATACATTGTAACTAATTAACTTAACAGTATATATTTTAATCAAGAAGGTTCAGGGTTACATACCTATGACAGGATCTACAGCTTGTTTTGCAAGTTTCCGCAGTGCTGCAGCAAAACTTGATGTACGGGTTGCCTTAAGAGCTGGGTTGTTGCTAGTTGTACCATATGACACAATAACACTACTAGCATGAGATGAGGCATAGTCCACTGGTGATGATGTCTGAAGGTTCTGATTCCCAGCTCTTTGTGGCCCACTAGAGGAAGGCTGCACTGTTCCAGAAAGAGATCTAGACCCATGAGGGAGTCCTGTAAATGTAATTTTGTGATTACTTTTTGAAAATTATTAAAAATACAGATTTATGTTGGCACTAAGAACATTGATACAAGAGGACTTGAACTTTAAGGATTAATTTGGATGCAAATGAACAAGTGTAGAAAATCACACTGCGTTGTACAAAATTAATAGCTGTTAAATTATATACAAAAGTTATGAAATGTTGATTTGAGTAGTTCTGCATATTATCTGATAATGTGAATACCACAGTGCAATCTAAATACCAATGACTGTTGTACACTTAATATCTGCTAATCTAAATACCAGTGACTGTTGTACACTTAATATCTGCTAATCTGAATACCAATGACTGTTGTACACTTAATATCTGCTAATCTAAATACCAATGACTGTTGTACACTTAATATCTGCTAATCTGAATACCAATGACTGTTGTGCATTTAATATCTGAATACCAGTCAATGCTGTACACTTAATACCTGTCAATCTTGATACCAGGGGATACTGTTTTGTATCTGATAATCTATATGTAAGTAATATTATATGCTGTAGTATAAACCTGCTAATACGAACACAACTGGATATTGTATTATGCAGTTTGCTCCTTTGAAAAAAATAAATATAACATGGACACTAAAGCATGACTTCTACTAAATTGAGTATCTCTGATTGTTACACACAGGCCATGTTACATCGAGTATTTGCAGCCACTGAGAACATTTTCAAAACAAACTACTGTAATTCAATATTATCATAATTTATGGTGAATCTGAGACATTTTTTTCAAAATTCCTCCCTCCCTCCCCCAAATAGATAAATAAAATATTCTAACAATTAAGTCAACTGAACTGGTATACCTTTTAGAGATTTCTTCTGTTACAGGCTGGTAGAGAATACTTTCCAAAACGAGTATATATATCAATATAGAGGAGAACAAAAAACAAGCAAGCAATGGATAATGTCTCTTGAGAAGGAAGTCTAAAAACAATTTTTTGTATAAAATATATTTTCATAAACAGCTTCAAACAACTAAATTACTCACAGAGTTCATCACATAATCAATAGATGGTGATAAGACAGATTCCCTACTAACCTGTTATATAAAGAGGCAGTGTCGAGAGGAACACTGTGGGTATGCTTTTTATCGTTTAAAAAAGTAAATCTTTTTTTCTAAACATAACATAAATTACATAACAGAAATGTATGTTGAATATTTGGTCAAATTCCTTGACTTTGTAAACAAAAACATTTAAAACTATAATAAAAAACAACAGCAACAAAAAAGTGGGGAACCATTTCATAACAATTTCCATGTACAGTAAAAATATATGTTATCACCTGCCATTTTACCAGAGGATTTTCTCAGATCTAACTTATTAGACAACTAGCTCTGTAAGCATGTGTCTTAAGGACATCAAGACCAGCTGCAGTATCATTTCAAAAGCATAAGGTTGGTGGCACATTTCTGCATCGAGAAATTCATGTCTTATAATTACACAGCAAAAGTGTGCAGTTACATATTGTAAGTAAAGGGAAGTGAAAATCATTAGTAAATTAGCCATCTATAGTTATAGCTGTGTGTGTGTTATACAACCTAATCTTAGCCCAACCACACAATTACATGTGTTTATAATATTAATATCTAAACTTAATATTTACGTAAACATGTTCAACCTTGTTTAAGTGTGCATAACACATATTCCATAAAAATGCAAGTTATATCAAATTGGCTAATATAGGAAACAGCTAATAAAGATAATTATAAGCACTTTTTTTTACGTTTTTAATTTTATGGTTCAAAAAGTGAACGATTTTAAAAAGAAAACCATACTTTATAACAATTTACACGAGCTAATACAATAGCATATCAGAGTAGATACAAGAAAAAGTGACAAGAAACAGGTGACTAGTTACAGATCACATGGCAATAATGTGAATGTAAGGTAGTTTTTCTTCACGATTTATGGTTGCCACAAGCTTCTTATCTAATAGAAAAAATCTACAATTTTGAAAGTGGACAGTAAAGCAAAGGTAAACTTCAGTTACTACCAGACGAACATGCTGACACCAATTAAACAGCATGGAATTCCACCTGTAAGACCAGGACAACAAGAAGGTATGACTGCATCTTATTATAAGCTATGCAATTTCTTTCTACAGATTTTTGCCAGATCATCACCAAAATTGAACAGGATAACAAACCAAATCCAGGGAGAGACCTAATGAGTTTATGATTTTGAATTAACCCCCGGGTTAGTTAAACACTCACCCATGGGCTAAATTAATATTGATACAAATGTTGTTCATAACCCATCATCAAATGGCTAATTGCTGAGTGCATGATTCAATCTTTTCATAATGCACACTTGAGGTAAGATATTAAAAATAAAACTAGATATTTAAAAATTAATTTGTTTGTGTCTCATTACTTCCATGCCCACTTTTCATTACACACTAAATTACTATGTCAGCTGGTCAGTTTAAAACATCCAATCAGAGCACCGTTTCTACCATAAAGAATGAAACTGGTGTTCATGTCAGCTGCTTTCCCCAAATACTTGTGAAAAGTCACCACATTACACACCTATGGACTTCTGTGCACTTGATTTTGTTAATTAAGGGTGTTCTTGTGAAGGGTCTATGAGAAGCTTGCAAGATTTGCACACTAAAAAATGATAGATAATTGTGCTATTATTTTGCTCAACATGATTGGTAGAAATTGTGTCAATGATTTTCCAAGCATTTTTTTCCCAACTGGTCCACAATTATCGACTTTGTAGCTTCATACGTTGATATATTTCAAGGTAAGACTTAAAGGAATTACTAAATGTTATAACTGGTAGGCATTAATGGTGCATTGATTCTCCATTATAAATTAACATCAAGATGTTAATTGTATAGCATTTACTTTTGTTGCATGTTGTTTTTTTAATTTGTGTCTTTGTTTGATATTTTACGGACAGGAACAAATTTAAGATACTTTTTCTTGCTAAAGAACTTGAAGACAAGAGTCAAACTCAATTACTTTCACTTATGTGGGAGTGGGGGAGTTAACATAAAAAACTTTAGAACAGAGGTAATCTGCTTTTATGTGAGAAAAATAATTGTTTGTCTTTCTACCAGTGCAAAAACTTACAATTAGATTGTTATGTGTATCAAATATTCTGTGTATTTATTCAGTCATTCATCTAGGAAATGCCAGTGAAAAAAAGAGCTTCTCTTAAATTTGCACATGCTTTTTTCAGTAAATAGTACCAATTGATAAGAAATTATTTTTAAATGCTGTTTATTTGTTTACTTTTTTTAGATTTAGTAAACACTGTATGTAAAAAACACTGGAAATTTGTGTAGCAATTAAACAGTATTCAAGGTTAATGCTTTCATTTCTCTTTATTATTAAGCCAAAGTCCAACAGTATCAAACAACCAGTCTGAGAAATTACATACACTGTTTGGAGAAATATATAGAGTTGTAAACTAAATCTGACAATACTCTTTCAGATCAAATGCGAGTGAAAATCTGAATTATAAGAAATGATTCTACATTTGTTCTAAATTATTATTTCTTTTCTCTTTGCTGATGCAGAAAGAAAACTGAAATAAAAAGTTTAATGTCTTTGTAATTCTTAGACTTTCAAAAAAAAGGGTGTGTGTGTGTGTGTTTTTGTTAAGCATAAAACTACACATTGAACTAGCTACCTGTGCTCTGCCTACCTCGATATCAAAATCTGATTTTCGATGAGGTACAAAGGGGAGACATTTTTATACTTACACATAGACGAGCTGCTATCAAACAAATATAATTGGTTATTGAGAAAATACGAAAGTCAAGCATTGTGGAATTCTACAAAGAAGCTGAGAAAAAATTTTGCTATTGTAAAAATCCTAATACCCAATGAATTGGGTAATTTTTCAACTAAAATGATGGATATATATTATTCAATATTGAAAAGATCCCAATTCTATCCTTGGTTGGGTACTGTTTTACCCAGGCTTTTTTTTTTTGTGTATATATATAGTCTTAATTGATCTCACTATTCTTCATAGAAGACTATTATAGCAATTAATCACTGCTTATATTATAAACAGTAATAATTTCACCCACCCTCTTCAGTACTTATACAACTTAAACATGAAATATTGCCTTAACCTGTCGCTTGGAGTAACCTACAGTAGCCAGGTAGTATTTCCATCTAGGAGTCATGAATGAAATCACCACACCAGAGCTTGGAACAGTACGTCTGTCTGTAATTCTACAGGCACTATACTGGTATAGCAGTGTAAGTTACCAGCATGTGACTGTAATATTTGTATTTCATTCATAATTACTTCCTGTATTATACTTAGCGTGAAAACGAGTTAAAATATAAAGTTATGCATGCTGTTGATAATGTACAAAATATAGAATAACAAATTTGTTTGTTTTCACTATTTCTGCACAAATTTACACAAAGGATATTCATGCATAGCCGTTTGTACTTTTGAACCGACAGACCACAAGATGGCTAGTCATAAACACCCACAACCAACCTTTGGGCTACTCTTGTCTGAGCGAAAAGTGGGATAACACCGTTAGTCTTGTAGTGTACCCACAGCTTTGAAGTGTGGGGCTTCATTTCTGCGACGAAACACAGATAATCAACCCTCGGATTCACGCTAACCACACTCGCCCGGAATTGCACGACAATGAAGGGAGAAACATCGATATCATCTGAGATGACGACCACTATGATGAATTTCTGAAATTCCCTGCATTCATTGTTTCCAACTTGTAAAACTTTTATTACATACAAATAGATACATGTATATAAATACGGCCACGATTTATTCAGCTCATCGTCAGAGATAAGAAAATAATGATACTTAAGCACAAAATAATATACAAAACAAAAAGAACATTTTAATAACGTGAAACAAGAGCAGCAATAAAATTAAGCTACATTTTCGATTATCTAGAAAGAGTATCACTGGAGGTGAGGAAATAAAATTAAAAACCTTTACTTTTTAAAATA